TTATATAACTTTATCCCGCAGCCGCCGATTACGAATTCACGACTTTAACGACTGTACCCGGCCAGGTAATATATAACGGCGCAAAAATTCAAATGCTTGATTTGCCCGGTATCATCCAAGGAGCAAAGGATGGCAAAGGCCGTGGTCGACAGGTTATTGCCGTTGCCAAAACGTGCCATCTTATTTTCATCGTACTGGATGTTAACAAGCCGTTGACGGATAAGAAAATCATCGAGTCAGAATTGGAAGGCTTCGGTATCAGGATAAACAAGGCACCGCCCAACATAGTATTTAAGAAAAAGGACAAAGGTGGTATTTCCATCACGAGTACTGTGCCACTAACGAATGTCGATCACGATGTAAGCTCTTGTCTCCTTAGTTTTCTCCATCTCTACGATCTGGATGCATATTTGTAGCAATCACGCTTAAATCAATTATGCAGGAAATTAAAGCGGTGATGAGCGAATATCGAATCTCTTCCGCGGACATTGCAATTCGGTGCGACGCAACGATTGATGATCTTATCGATGTACTCGAGACGAGAAGTCGGAGCTATATTCCCGTCGTCTATGCTTTGAACAAGATCGATTCTATATCAATCGAGGAGTTGGACCTACTCTATCGTATCCCGAACGCAGTTCCTATCAGTTCCGAACACGGTTGGAATATCGACGAGCTCCTCGAGCTTATGTGGGAAAAACTCGACCTAAGGAGAGTCTATACAAAGCCTAAGGGCAAGAATCCGGATTATACGTCTCCTGTGGTTTTGCGGAGTAATGCTTGCACTGTTGAAGATTTCGTAAGCCAACCTGTCCCCCTACGTCACGAAAAAGCAACATTGATAGTATGGGTGGAGCTTTAAACAAACAGCTAACCGTGTTCCGTAGTGCAATTCCATACATAAAACAATCGTAGATCAATTCAAACATGCAATCGTTTATGGTCGTTCGGTCAAGCATCAACCTCAGCGAGTGGGACTCAGCCATGAACTCGCTGATGAGGACATAAGTAAGCAACAACGCCATTATGACACACAAACCTCCCACCCTGCCTGTATGAAACCAAATTCTGAGAATTTACAGTCACGATCGTCAAGCGATAGAATCGATAACCAAGCAATGCAAAGAAGCTGCTGCGAAAAGGAAACCCTGATATCTGACAGGTATAACCAGCCAATACACGGACCCTTAACTTTCCTCCAACCTCACCCAAGATCCAAAGGTGTCAGCGAGATCTACGTTGGGAAATGAGATAAAACCCTTGTTTTTGCCAAATTTATTTATTTATTTTCTGATGATGATGGCTAATGTGCAAATCAATGTCATCAATCTTTTTCCTCATCTCTGATTCACTGCTTCCAGCACAAAGAAGCTTGGACCTCATCATGATAAAGAATGATGTCTATCTTTTCTTTCTCCCCTCTCATGTCAGCTGAGATGGCAACCCACACAGCTGTTGTTCTCATTCAGATTATCAAGACTGCCACTTGTTTTCTGTTATTATATACCTCATCAGGAGCAAGATTTTGTTTTATTTTGGATTGAATCTACCAGGTGTAGTGTTCAAATATCAATAATGGGTACACAACATCAACTTCATCCAGTGAGAGACACGGGAAGAAAAAAGAAAAAAGAGTCATGAATATTCAGCATAGGAGTTTTGAGCTTTCTTTGTTGTCAGTTGGGACGTGGAGGGTAATAAAGAGGAGTTGAACCTCTTTTCTTTTTCTTTTTCTTTTGTATGTATGAGAGTGAAAATGCATATTTCCCAACCAGGTATGATGCATTTGTTTGACCCTTGGGTACTACTGTTGGACGTCAAAAGAAATGAAAAAAGAAAAAGCTAAATGGCGGTATCTGAGTTGCGAAAAATGAAATTATATATAGTTTTCCTTCAACCTTCTTTTTCTTTCTTTTCTTTTTTTGTTCTTTTAAAGGTCAAAGTGCTAGTTGTAAAGATTTTTCACAATAGACTTGTATAACTATATCTTGCAAACTGCATTTTGAAAATTGATTCTCTTTCAAAATCTCTCTCTCTCTCTCTATATATATATATATATATGTAAGGATATTTCGTGTTTTCACATTTTAAATGAGAAAGGTTTTATCTCTATATCTACACACTCTGATTTCTGGCTTTCATTGACACATATTTGAAAAGCATTTTTTAATATTGCTGCCCCTTTAATGATAAGAACATAATGCATCTAAAAAAGAGAAGTTCCAACATAAATGTTTGTCATTAAAACATGAAATATAAAGTTTTCATCAATTATTAAATTCAGTATCAAAAAAAGAAAAATGAAAAGAAAAGAAATAAATAAAAAAATAAAAAAAGAAAAAAAAAGGAAAAAGACAAAAAAATAAAGTTTAAAATCAAAATCAGAGAAAATTTAATATGATTAGATTTCAATTTTCTTCATCAACTTATTGAACATCTTACAAATCATATAAAGAGCTTTTCAATTAAATGAAACTTTTATGTTTTTATTTATTTTTTAATATTTAATTTTATTCATATAGGAAGTTTTTTGATCTATTCATTATTTATAAATGTATTGATGATGTATTTTGCAAAATGAATATATATATTGTTATTTGCTATCATCTATAAAATTATATACATATCAATTTTAATATTTAAACAGGTCAAGGTCACCTTTACTTCCATTTTCATAAGTTATCAAGAAAAAAAAAATTAAATAAATTATATATATATATATATATATATATTGTTTTTCTTTTTTCTATTTTTCATTTCTCTAATCATCTAGGCATTTTGCTTTCCTTTAAACCTATATATAGGCAGCTAGGTTTGCGGTACTTTTGAAATAAATAAGAAATATCAGAAGCAGTGTTCTGTATCATGAATCTTTAAAGACTTTGATGAGAAATCACAATATGTAACTGCTTCAGCAGTTATCGCTGAGTTGAGGATTTTAGAAGCTTGTGATAGCTTAAGCAATGGTAGTTCTAGGACACGAACGAGAAGAGAAAGAATTTAATCCCAGGTTGGTAATTTGAGCTTCTCTTGAGTGTCACTTGATAAAACCTTGAAAGAGGGCCATCAAAGCCACGATATATCAAAATCCCCAGCTGGGTCACCCTGAAAAGGGTAGATATGTTGCGATTCTCATCATTGGCTCTGCTGTTCCTGGTTCCCGATCTTGTAGATACGTTCCCTCCTTAAGTTTTGAGGTATTGAAAAATTGTACACCTCACTATATCCAAAGTATTGGTATCTGATTTCTGAGCATATGAAGGTTAGAGAGAGAGTTTCAATTTTCAAGCCATCTGAGGTGTTCTTACGTTCTTTGTGTGGAAATAACATTCGTCAGTTTGCCCATAAAACCTTTTCAATTTTTCATGTTTGCCGATGAGTTTGTTCATAATCTGATATATTGACTGCTCTGTTAATCAGCCAATCCCTTCTTTATCAGGGTTACCTAGATATCCTTTTTTTTTTGTCATTTATCTCCCCCCACTCACCCCACCTTGTAGCGCTCTTTAGCTAATAGGAGAAAAAAAACATTATCCCATCTATGAGAATTTAATTTGTGGATCAAATTTCCCCGCTGCACAAATGACAACTCCCCTGTTCTGATTTCATCAGCAAGCCCAGTTTTGTTAGGAATTTTACCAAGCTCAACACGAGAAAGAAGCTGGCAAGTTGCGCAAACTGTGGCAGATCAGCTTCCTGTTCGGAGTATTTTGCTTTTTCCTTTTTCTTCGCTCCGAGCTGCCTTAGGACATTCAATGATAATCCAGAAAAAGAGGTTGGATTATCTATTGAGAGAGGAAAACGAGGAAGGAAGTATGAAAATTTAAACGAATTAAAATCTAGAGCAGGTGACAAATTTACCTACTTCGTTTGAAATGGCAAGAAAACATTTTCCTCGGTTTAAGACCAGCTGTGAAGTTACGGACGGAGTCAGTAAAAGATGGCGCCAACGTGCAGGGCATTATTCTGGGTGCGAAATTGCACGTCAAGCTTATTGGAACGAAGGGTTCGATGTGTGTCGCAAGAGCCTAAACTCCATCTGTCTAGATCAGCATACCAACGGGGAAGATTGGGGATGTTTCCGTCTTGGCATATAACAGACAAGGCATGTGTCGGAATCAAGTTCTTGGGAAAAGTGGGGGAGGGGCAGCATACGCTGATGGCTGCGAGTCCAGACCCATCGCAAGAGAGGGATTATGTACTCCGGTGCGGAGTAACACTTTCCGTGGAGAAATTATTGGATTGCCCCAAGTCGCAGAGTTTGAGATGGGTTAATCCAACTTGCTCTAGGAGTCAACCCTGCAGCTTGTGTATGTGTGAGGGCTTTGCTTTCGCTTTTGGACTTTGGGATCTTAAATGATGTTAAAACAATGGAATAACTAAGGCTCCTGTAAAAATAAAGTAACTCAGGGGGTAAAATCATGAGCTTTTTTTTTTTTTTTGACATTCCATCCACCTTGTTTCGTGGTGGTCAATTGCACAGGAAATCTAGCTTGAGATGAAATATGGAATGAACACCTTTGCACCATTTTGCTGTCAATTGAGTTTGGAGGAAGAGCTTGTTGAGGCCTGAGGATATAAATTGTTGCAATCACTCATGGTTTCATTCCAGATGAGGTTTGGTCTTGCAATAATTTCCCTGAAAAACTAATCCGCATATGATATTGCTTTCAATTTACTGTGAATTCTGTGGTTAAAGAACTGAAGACCAACAATTTCCCTAGCGACGCAAATTCTTAACGTGGCTTTGAGTGAGAACCCTTTGATGACAGTGATATTTAAGCTCGGCAAGGCCTTGGCTGCGTAATACAGCCGAAGAAAGCTGATGATCTTGGCTGTTCAGCTCTTGTTTTTTGAGGCAGCCCTTGACACACATCAGAAAAGCTATTTGTTTCCTCAACTTCAATGCTTGTGATGAGGAATGGTTAATTTTACTCACAAAGATTGGCGTACCGCAACATAAATATTGGCTGAGAAAAAAAGAAAATTAGGCAAATATTCTACCACGTCGAGAATGGACAAAATTGACGACGCCATTTCCGGGGGTTCGATCCATTGTAACAGCGGACCAGAGGTGAGAAACGTGCGTTTTCTTTTCCGTAAAAGAATAGAGGATGGCCAAGCCAGTTCAAACTAGGGTCTGCATCTTGCTTTGCTCTGCGGAAGCGGGCGGAGGAATCAGCTTTCAACACCTTCTTTCCTGACGGCCCTGACCGGATACTTGGAAGGACAGGGCTGATATCTGATCCATGGTTGGCTCGACGCCATCGAGTTAATTTAGACTGATCATTTTTTCCTAACTGGTCGGTTTTAGGTCCAAGTTTTGGCTTGTCAAGTGGAGCTACAGCTCCGATGGCAGATCTCGAGTCTGTTTTAACTTTAAGGTTCTGGGAAGGGCAATAATATCTGCGCAAAATTATCCTGCCACAAGCAGGCTTATTACGAACCTAGCACGGAGGCTCAAGAGTTCGATGCCCTGGTACGGAGTATATGGAATAATATGTCTGCAACAGCGTACCTGCTTCTGTGGATGTTGATAAGGATCCCAACCCACATAAGAATGATTTTCGTCCAGGAACCCTGGTATCCAGGGCGACTGGAGACTGTGATGTGGGATTGATCGGCTAGGTCCCTTGCCCATGGTAATACGGACAAGGGCTATTTAAGGATAATAAAGAGTTGATGGGGAGATATACTCAGTGCAAACTCCGCAAGAAACTTGGATGTAAGAATATGGACTGCGTGAAATTCTACTCTGACGGTGCGTGACGATAACTTGCATCATTATCCCCACAGGCAAAGACTTTAAAAGTATTTTTCCACTCAGGCCAAACGTCATCGTTCTCTCTGGCCACAGCCATCAATTCTTGTTGGAGCTCCAACCTCCCAACAGTCAAGTGTCAACAGTCAACAGTCAACGATCGACTATCAACGGTCAAATAGTTGACAGCAGACCACAGTTTTAGCCTCACTTGCAGAGTGTAACCCACGAACAATTCAAAACCAGATTCGGTGTCTTGGGTAGAGGGTCCCATTGATATATAGGTTACGACGGTTACGGAGGATAGCTCTGGCGGTCATTGCTCCGTCCCAATGCGATTCCAATTCTGCCCATTATGAAAAGTAAAACGCGCAAAAGTATCCGACTTGGATCAACGACACTCTGAACCCTGAGCCTTAAAGGAGAGTCTGCTTCCAATTTCTACCCTTGTTGTGATAGGTTCAATCCATATCCACTGTATGATACCCGCAAAACTTACTATCGTCTGTACATATCACGCTGGGGCATTTTCTCACAGGCATCAGGGAAGATATGGCGACTCCGAAAATGATATCGATTTGAATTAAGGAGCTAAGACCAAGATCGACAACCTTTCGATAGGTTCAAGTGCTTACTTGACTTTGATATCTTCTAATAATAAGAACACTCCTTGGGAATATTAGCAATCTATAATGAAAGATGCGTTGGCCTGTTTATGTTGAAGCCTCACATGCAACGTCGAGATGGACTCGATTGTTCCATAAATCAGCGCTTCTCGTTCATCTTTCGGAACAGTTCCAATCATGAGATGTTGATGAATGGAAGGAAGTATTGAAGGACGAGGGGATTCCGATTCGACATCCGTTGAATACTCCAGGCACATGGCTTTTCAATCCAATAACCAGAAATTAACCTTTACTTCTAACGCTGACTGGCACATGGTGGTGGTTGAGACCATGTTCCTTTCTTGACCTCTCCTACACTCATGAAGCTCTTGTTCCGTCAAATACTGGAAATTTGCAAATATGAAGAAGGTTTTGTTCCCTAACCCTTAACCCGTAAAACCGCCAACAATTTCCTCTCCAGGATGGCGCAACTTAGAACCCAAGACTCGTATGGATGCTCTCAAAGGGATTGGATTTCGTGAGAGCGGGTAAGATATGAAAAAGGAAAAAAAAAAAAGGAAAAACAGACTAATTCTTGAACAACCACCGCCGTCGCTCGACTTTCATGCAATCGCGTCCGCTGAAAAGCCAACCGGCATGGATCTCCCCTTGAACGAAGCGCCATGGAACCTGGGTCAGCGTCAACAAATGCAACAATCTAACCGGCCCGGACCCGTTTATTTTGGCGGCCTCCCTTGCTGCGCTTTTCAGAACGGTTACATCATGGTATCGCCTTACGAGCCATTTTAGATTGGTATTATTTGACAGGTAATGTATTGTACTGTATCGTTGTGGAAACCGTCCGGTTTTCTTTGGTGTATTATAAGTGCTTGCTTTTTCCTTTCCCTTTGGCCTGATTACCACATTAGTAAATAATAGTATGAAACTGGTGTTTTTTGGAAAGTGTCTTGACCCATCCCGCATCCTGGATTTCATCAACCAGGAGGGCAAAAACGATTTATCTTCCTAAATCCAGGCTTGGATATCTGTATCCCCTCTCACATGAGCACAAACAGATGCAAAAACCATACAGGTCCGATGTCTGTCAATTATCCAAGGGGGATTTCGAACGTTTTCGAAAATATCCATCAAAACACTATGGGTGCTTGCAAAACTTGTACGACATTTCAAGGGTCCTCTTTGACTCTAAAGGCGTCCTCCATTCCAGTCGAAGTGCCAATAGCATCTTGTCTTATGGGAAACTTTTGGGTTCTGCGAAGCTTACTCTTTGGCTTAGTTAAGTTTGGCTTATTTAAAGAGTTCCAAGGGCATATATCTCTCTGTATGTTGGCACCTCAGCCCAGCATCTGAAGATTTACAGATGTACCATCAAACGGATCTGGAGTTGGAGTTCTGCTGCATGTTCAAGCAAGTAGAATACCTCTTTTCCCAGCGAAATCAACTCTTTTTACCTTGATTGAATTGTCGTTTAAGCAATGATATCTGCCCTTCTCTTCCTGTTTTGCATATGATCGCATGCCGGCAGAGAACAGGCCCAAAAAGTGCAGATGGTCTCTCTTTTCATATACAGGCTCAGATGATCTGATGGCACGCGGATTTACCAGAGCCAATGATGTTAAGCAGAGATCGTCAAACCGTAATCTGGTGGCGGTGATGCAACTAAGGAAACTAGCAGCGCCATGCAAACGATTCGATATCAATGTGCCCAAAAAAAGGATCATTTGCGACAATTTGAAACTCCATCGAGGGTCTATCCGAAATGATCTTCGAACCTGGCTTTCACACCACGAGTCGACATCCCAGTGTCATTCCTATGCGTTCCGTTTTACTATTGATAATTTTTTAGCTGATGTTTCCACACCAAGATTGCTCTGGCCTAACTCCATTCCTGCCCTATCTATGCTATCCTGATTCATGGGGTTCCCCGCAGCGAAAACATTTCCTCCTTGACAGGTTTGGAGGCATATTCTGCGCCATTTGGTCTTCCTCCCCTCATATCTTTACAGAAATAAGGATTACTCAGAACCTGTCATCTTCGGCCCTCTTTTTCCCTCTCTCTGTGGATAGAATAGTGTATCGTCTATCCTTCCTTCGCTGAAACTTTTTCATGTGGCTGGGCTGTGACAGTATGAAGATAACACTGCTTTCCCGTGCTGACCGTATTCAAGCCTTCAGAACTCAGTCGATTCAGTCCAGTGTGCAGATAGGAGCGAAAACGGTCTCGCATCCAGTGTCAGATTCATACGAGAATTGGGAAACGCTTTTCTGCACTGGAATTGCCTGTCGAACAGGACCATACCGATTCTTTTAGAGTTCACTGGTACTCCGTTTTGTGAAGGGAAAATATGTTGTAGGCTATTTCCATTCGAGCATTGCCGATGAGGATCCTCCTTTCATCTTGTCCAACCAGGATCTCGAGGCGCCAACCTTCCATTCTTTTGTATTCGCCAATGGATGGTGGTATCGGTATCCATTTCCGTTATCTGCATTGAAGTAGCGTATTTCTAAGCCGTAATGGGATTTCTTTTGTAACAAGGCCAAATGCTGTTTCTAGTGCGTATTGTGAATGTTCTCTTAAGAGCCTTGGGCATTTGACATCTAGCTCTCCCCGCGATTTACGGCTCCATACTCCGTAGATTGGCTTTAACCCCTGTATCTTCGTCATTTACTCTGTACTAGTCCGCTTTGAGCCTTTATGGTCAAGCAGAGTCAATAATCCCCAATCTTTAACGGAATACTCCAAGCCGTTTTTTTTGTACTTTTCGGCGACCTCTGGACGGTTTTTTACCATTTTCTAATTTTTAACTTTATTCTCCCCAATTTTCCTGGATGCGCTATTCGTACTCTGTAAGTTCTTTTCTCTTTTTACCCTTTTTTCAAAGACACTAATCAGTCTTAGTTGATCTGTTCCTTACACTCATCCCTCTTTTGAGGGCTGCAAGGGTACTTTTGCACATTGTCGCTTCAGGTTGTGGTTTCGTGCTGTTACTCCAGATTATAAACAACACCCTCTGCGGCCCCTCACAGACCTCCTGTCGCTTCCGATAAATGAAGCTCAAAAACTGCATACCCGGGCTTGTCTGGTTTTGTACCTGGAGTGCTTCGTTTTGAACTGACTTGTTCCTTGCCAAACACCCTTCCTTCTATTCTTCCTTTCTTGAGTCAATTTGGATTCTTGTGTTTTACGCCGTTTAAGTATGAATCGAAATTTCCTTGATTTTCTATAGTTTGAGAACCCTCATCTTCCACTGCGCTTCTGCAGTTGATCGATTTACTGCCCACGTCATCTTGGAACATTCTTTTCCCCTAGTCGGCCCGCTCTTTCATGCCCTAACGTATTGAGAGATACACAACACGTGTATAAGGAAAAGAGTATTATTCTCCTCTTCTAAGTGATTAAAAGAAAGGGACAAACAGGGACATTGACAGATTCACTGGATATGGATACTGAAACCCAACCGCAAGACCATGATTTTGGCGCCCCTCAATGGGTTGATATGGGAGGGTACGGTCAATCCCAGCACCATTCGCCATTAAATGATTATAATAGCTTTGCATATGGCTCCTCACCCGTCATGCCAGTAGAACCTTCTTACAGCATGTCGATCCCACAGCCATATACATCCCAACAATTGCTACCTCTATCAACCCCGTCGCAGTGGCCGAGCATGTTGACCACCCAGTCGAATTTTCCACCAGTTCCTCTTCCACCGATGCCAATGTCATCTTTGCCCAGTTTGCATCCTATTCATACAGCTCCAATATCATCCAGTGCCCCTACACCGCGCAGAACTTTAACGGATAATGACCGACGTCGAATGTGTTTATATCACGAAGAAAATCCACATGTTAAGCAGACTGACATTGGAGGTAAGGGATAGCTTTTGATAATTCGGAAACACTCCTTTACAGCCTATCGTGCTAACTTATTTTGTTTGAATAGCCATGTTTGGTGTGGAACGAAGGTAGATATATATCGCAAACCTCGTCTGGCGTTTACCACTGTCCGTTTCCTAACTTCATTTGTCCCAGCACCGTTTCCAAAGTTTTACGGCAGAAGGAAAAGTATCTCTACCCCGATGACGGTAGCCGTTCGCCGATTAAAAAGTCGAAGGGCAAATTTCCGGACATTGAGCGGGCTTTATCAAATTGGGTTAGGAACCATCAACGCCAAGGTGGTCAGTTAAGCGATGCTATGATTAAGGAGAAGGCTCTTTTCTTTGCAAGTACTGTTGGTGGTCCCGAAAATCATCAAAAGATACTGAGCTCCAGTTGGCTAGAGAAATTTAAACAGAAGAACTATTTATTAAGTACACAGTCACGAAAGGGCTCAGTTGATACAGTGAACGAGCTAGAAATCCCTAAGAATGGGCTATCCAACACGTCCTTGTCGAGCCAAAACCCGAACGGCCTTTCTCCTCTGTCACAAAGTGGAACGACAACTCCTTCGCCTCTATCCCCAAAGCAGCGGCAATCCTCTTTGAAGCAAGAGAGCTTCGATGGAGCCTTGTCTGAGTATGCTTCTGAATTCCGAAAGCAGTCGCACTCTCAAAGCGCCAATTCAGTTGACAGAACAACCACACTTGCCACCACCATAACCAGTCCTAATTCGATTGTTTTCTCTGAGAACCCCTTCAGTCCCGAAAATCAATCACGTGTGCCTCCAGACTTGGGCAGCAATTCCAGTCGACCAAGAAGTCAGACATTCCCGATTGCCGGAACAGAGCCAAGTTCAGTTGCCAACGGATCGTCGGATCATGTGTCACCTAAAAATGTATTTCAGCCATCCACGTCCCCAGGTGTAGACGACGAAGAACACGGAAATACTCGTCCATCGTCGAGCGAATCATCAAGCATCAAGAGGAATCGCAGCAACCCAGAAATCAAAACCAGTTCCATGCAACCCCCATCTCTACCTAAATCCTCCACCGTCTCTCCTATTTCTTCCCCGGGTTCTCCTACCCACGATGAGGCACGTCGTGCCCTGGAGCTGGTTGTTAATTATTTTAACAACCAACCAGCCGGTCTGGGCGCACAGGAGTACCTAACCATCGGGAAGTTAATGGAAAAGCTAGAGCTGGCTCAAAACCAAGCCGTTGGACAGCGAGGGCTGCCTCGCATTGATGAACATTCTGACGGTCCCCGGGTGAGCAAGAAGAGAAGCATACACACGCTATAATTCGAAGGCGCGCCAAAATGGTGACTGCATGAGTGGTCATTACAAGATTATGGATGAGCCCGTTGTCAGGTTTTGTAATGTTTATTATGAGCTCTGTTAATTTTAACGGAGAACCATTGGTTGTCTTATTGTTTATGCATCAGCGGGCTCTAAAAAAAAGAAAGCGAAATCAAAGAGACTAAGGTTGTGATGGGTATGCGAAAAGTAACAATACGTTAAAGCTCCGTCATGACTTTTACTTTTCGTCGGCCACAGCGGCCGTCTCTGTGTTGCTTTTGACAGCAGAGACTTCCCCTTGGAAGATAAGGAGACAGACTTGTTGATTCAAACTTGAGAATCGGGTATCAAGGTCCTGAGCTGTGGGAGGATGCACACGCACCGCATGACAGCAAGGTCACGATAACTCTCTGTGATACAGCAAGACCAATAAATGGGGGAACCTGTTGTGCAATTCTGGGAACATTTTCTTGGCAACATCCAAACCCAGGGTGGACTTCGAACCACGGCAAACTGGGCCCCGTCAGCATTTCCCGCCTCTATCTACTCCAAGTGGGCTATGTTGCTGTCTTAACCTTTTCTATATGTTTACTTCTTTTCTTTTTTCGTGTTGTCTTTCTTCCGTATTGTTTTATTTTTTGGACCAATCTGTGCTCACTTGATAGTTGTCTGGTGCGTCCTTTTCAATGTCTTCTTTCCCTTTCTCTCTCGTCTTATTTCTCACACTTCATTGGAATCATATATTTATCTATCGGTGCATTGAGAAGGACGGGGATCTCACATGGAATCAGACAGAAGAAACAGTGCGTCTTGGTAGCTTCAACCCTCAGCGGCTTCAAACATCGAGGTCTATAAGTGTTGATATTTTGTTTATATGTGGATCCTTTTTCTCTCCCTCTTCATACGTTGTTTTCTCAACCCTCCTCCTTCGCGAAAGGGGCTCCAGTTTTGCTGATTTCTGGACTCACTGCAAGTTTTATTTCTATGTATGCCCTTCTGTTTTTGATATTCGACTCTTCTTTTTATGTTTGACTTTATTCCCCTCTATTGTTGTCTTTTGCTAGGAAAGTTATATATACACCGCTCGCGCGGATAGGGATATGGGGTAACCGGTACGAAAAGGATTAAAAGGGAAATTTTGGATACACGAATCTCCGGGTCTTGGGAAAAGGCTCAATTTACCAGCTGGCATTTTATCTTGCTAACTGGACATCCGTTGAACGTTTGGACTCTTTCTCAGGTTGTTTTGTTGTCATTGTTATTCACTCATCCCCTCGTTCCAATTTCAACTATTATCATCCAATTTGCCATTTCTTTTGCTACTTATCTCAATGCTCTCATATTAAAAGAATTCTTATATTAATCTGATACCGATTGACAAATATGAAAGATTATTAATTGGTTGCCGAATGTTCCCCTTTTCAATTGAAAATTGGTAGCCTCCAACTTTCATAGCTTCTCTATGCTTGGTTCTTACTATATATATGTGTATATGGGTGGGTCAAGAAAGCGCTGGGCAAGGATACGTTCGTGATCGTGGACGGCGGGATGAATTATATTAAAGGATAGAGGTACCACCTCTGGTGCAAGAGCCCATTTTTGTACATATTCAACCTAATTCACGGTATGTACTGCATATATCTTAAACGACTTGCTACAGTCATACCACCCTCTCTCCCCAAGGGGGGTTTTTGCTTCATCGGAAATTCCTACACTTTTACTAGCCCTTGTTGCTACCCCAGTTTTATGCGTCTTAATCTTCAATTTGTATTTGTTTGGTTCTCCATTGAAGGCAACTCTTCGAACTAAAAGAGGTATAAATCCGATATGAAGCATATGAATTACAGCTGTTAAAGAATGTATTTCTTCAAGTAGCTGTACCTCTCCCAGTCATGTAAACCTTGGAAAAGGTATCAGTCGTGGCATTAGCCCCGCCACAGATAGATAATGCATCACAATATTACGGTATACATATTAATTTATCCATTACAGTCTCTTCACATTAGCAGACATGACACCCTTGACCCATGAGAATTATGATAATAGTTTCACAATTTTTGACACGATATCTTCATGTATCTCCATGGAAAAAATTAATTGATCTCTTTCATTGAAATTGTACGTCAATAAAAATGGAGGCGTCTGGGGCCAAAAACGAGGGGTCTGACCAAGCGTGGGAATTAGAGTTACGTAAAGGGGCCCAAAGGCGCTTGAAAACGCACCAACAATGAGGATTTTATGGACATACAGAGAGCATGCCGTACGCATACTCCAGAGACTCATACCTAGTTATGGAAATATAACATTTATAATTTATAAAACAAAACTTAATGTCAGGCATAAGCTCATTGAAATATCTGGCTAGCCCGCATTTCTTGCCTCCTTTGTAAGCCGATGGTAATTCTACCCGTGTTTTAAAACTTTTACCCCTTGAAACTGGGATGGTCTGTGGTGCCCATTGGATTCTGGGACCTCGGGAGACCTTGGTCTAATTCGAGGCCAAGAAGTTCTGAAGCAAGATAAATGTAACCAGTCGAAGGCAATAAAACATGTTCAAGGCATATTTAATATCTACATGGCAGAAAAGTGAAATGATTGGGAACCGCGAAATAAGTACCCACATTACAAGTAAATGGAAATACCTCTCAAGTCCGCTCATCATTTATGCATGTAATTACAGTCCACCACGTCCATCCATGAATTCAGGAATAACTGATAGCTAAATCTCCGGTTCAATTTTATATGGATGCGTCTCCACGGTTTATATGCCCACACGCACAGATATACCTTCAGGAGTTAGGGGAGGACATCGGCGCCTATCATCACATCGCGTAGATATGCAAAATGAGAAAAGGGACAAGACTGGATCCTCAATCAGCATGACTTAAGTACACAGGTCACCAAAACAATGAGAGAAAGGAAAAGAAACTGCGATAGGAAGCAGTTAAACACCTGAGCTTCCAGAGATATTTGATCATTGGAGGCAACCTCTCATTCCCCATTTTACCTACAGATAGGAAGAGAAAAAAAAAAGAAAAGAAAAAGAAAAAAGAAAAAAAGAAAAAGAAAGAAAAAGAAAAGCCCCGTCAACACGATAACGCTGTTGGAAGCAGCTCCAAGAGAGCTCTAGAATTTCCATTAAATAAAAGTTAGCGGGGGGCTGCAGACGCCGCCGGGCTTTTCTTCTTGTTTTCGTCTCGACTTCTCTCTATTTTCGGGCGGTTAAAAAAAAAAAAAAAGAAAGAAAGAAAGGAAGGAAGAAAAGTAAGAAAAACAGGCCTTACTAGTTAATACGTAAGTGAACTAGTTAGTTAGCCAGAGGACATGAGATGGAACTAAAACCCATAATAAAAAGCAAACACATGCTCAGGACGCCTGAGCCACCTCCAAATATGACATTGTTATTATTCTCCAACATTGCAGGAGTTTATTGAGTGGTTCTTGCTTTTTTCCTTTTTTTTTACCCCTCCCCCCCATTTGCAGGCTTCGTTCAGTGGGGCTAGGAGATTGGGGAGAGCAAGCAGTGGGGGGGATGATTAACAAGCCACGCAATGCAGAAACGAGCAGGGAAAGAAAACCATCCGCGGATGGCTTCTTCCGAACATGTATGAATGGGTTTGCAGCACTCCATATAAGGGGGGCATGGAATCCGTAGATCAGCTGAAGCTGAAGAGAATATGTCCTCAGCAGCGGCAGTGGATTTTCACAGCAAATACACCTGGTTTTCCTCCGCAGCAAGCTTAGCAAGCCTGCATTTGCAAATTACAGAAAATTTTTGACATGGGACTACGTCAGTCTACATATGTGAGATTAATAGAAAACAAGTTGAGAAGATCATACCATACACAGGTAACAAATGAGCATTTGAGGAAGTAGATCTCGAGGAAAAAAAAAAAAAAAAAAAAAAAAAAGGTTTTCTAGACGCCCCGTTCAGCCATTAGTTCGGTTACTCCAAGTTCGGAGATTTCGGGCAGGAGTTTGACGAGCACCGTTTCGATGATTGAGTACATGAGATGTTTGTTACAATATGTATCCGCAAATAAATCTAATATATCACGTTCAATGGCGGAGAGGAGCAGCTCTTCTTGGTCGTCATTTGCTTCATGCTCGCCTAAGGACGCCCCGAGGGCTTGAGTATGAGGATGAGCAACACTATTTTTGTTCTCTCTATCCGGATTTGTATTGGGAGTGCTCATGGTTTTAGAATAGCGAAAGGAACCGGGAGCACTTTGTATGGGTTGAGATGCAGATGGGTTAACGCCAGACTTGCATGGACCATAAGCGGATCCGAGTCTCAGGTCAATATCCGTGTCAACGTTGGGTTCTCTGTTACTGTTGCGGTTGGAAGTGTTTGCTATATTCGTAGATTCTAATTTCAGTGTCTGTCGTGATTTTTCAGCTGTAGTTGTTGGAATACAAAATATTGCCAAAGCCACTCTGTGTGGGATTAGCGAGAGAATACTAGCCGCGCATGATCGCCTAATAAGATTTGCTTGGGATTTTGATGATGTTTGTGATTCCAACTTGGTTGAACCCGAGGAGCCGTTGGTTCCGACAGGAGCCTGAGGCACCGTCAAATCTGCTGATGATGACCTAGCAGTGGAAATGTTGGTGTTTAGACTGGGTTTGGAATTCAACGGGAAGAGCGTCGTTCGAATTGCAAGGAGCAAAACTGGCAAGATTGTGGGGGTCAATAGATGGTTCTGGATCGTCTCGTGTAAGAACCTGCGAGGAACCGAGTGAAAGTTGTCAGCAGGCAGGTCATAATTAATTCAGAGGGATCGTTCTGAACTTCAAGCGAGAGAAGGACAAGTGAATTTTGGAAATTTAAAGGGAAACAAAAAGAAATCTGAAAACAAACAAACACGCACACACACACCAAAAAAAAAAAAAAAAAAAAAAAAAAAAAAAAAAAAACCCTAAAAAAAACCTAAAAAAGAGAGAGAAAAGAGAGAAAGTCAAATAAGGCCCATTCATAATCAACGCTAAAAGTGAATATCATCACGAGCCTCCGCTATCTATCGATGGACAGACATATACGGAAGCATCACAATCGGAAAGGCGGAAAAAGGAGGAAAAGAGAGGAAGAGATATAATAGTTTTCTGTGATATTGATAGCCACCGAAAACTGGCACGGTGAAGGTAAGAGCTGCACAAATTGAGGTGTACCGATATCACTGGTTTAGACGGGATCAGAAGATACCCATTTCCCGAAATTTCAAGCCGGGAATTGGCTCACGAAGTGGGGAGATGGTCAAATCCTCGAGATGGTCGATTTTATACTGGCCTGGAATTTCGCCTTGCAGATAAGACAAGAGGGGATCATGTGGGGGACGATCAGACTGGAGCATCGACAGACATGGTGGGTCATGACCAACAAGAATGATCCATCCCGTGTGGAGCTCCAAGATATTTTGCTGTCACTGGCTGGCTGCTGCGAGGAAAGACAGGTGGAATAATCGACCAATGACACCGCCTGCTAAAGGGCTTAAAATAAACATATTTTGAGAGCGGACGGGAGGGAAAGGCCCGGCCCCGACGAAAAAGATCAAAAATGACGCATCAGTAGCAGCCAATGAGGAACCGGAGAGGATGTTAGCGACGACTGTTTGCGAGCGTTCTTTTTGGTCTGTCTGCTGATCCTATGATGATTGCTTTCTCAGGTGGCAGTTGAGAAGAAAAAAACCCAACACAGCCACTAGCATTGAAGTAGTGCATGAAAATACCGCCTTTCTGAAACTGGAAAGGTAAAAAACGGTCTAAAAAGACCGCTAGAAAGAAATGAAATAAAACAGACATCAGTGAGACGTGACTGGTGCAGCGTAATACGGTAAAACAACGTCACGGAAATGCAAGGGTCGGTAAAAAGATCTCCAAGGTAAAATACAAAACAAGGAGGGCAACGGAGGTACAGGGTTTTTGGGCATGTTCAAATCACCAACGCTGGTTGGTTGAGGGTAAGACTGCGGCTAGGTCTGTCCCTTGGGAGGATATTCAGGTGCTCATTGGATCAAGAGCAGCAACTATCAGATCAAGTGACTGAAAAACCACGCACGCAAGTCACCAGCAACCCCTCCCGCTCATTGTTTGCTTGGCATCTCTGGCAGATGCCACTGCAACAACTTATGATCGATAGTAAAATCGCCAGGGTTCTCACTACAGGGGATTGAGCGATCCTGCCCTACCCGCTGGTGCATATGACGCGCATGACAGACATCATCGAAGAAATGTGATGTCACAATCAAGACGCCTTCTCAATTTAAAGAATGGGAAGAAGACAATGCAATTCTGAGCTTTAAGGGTAATGTAACGTAAAAGGTTGGGCTTACCGGTCGACAATCTCCCCAGTGTTCCCGATCATTCCTGGTCCTTCAACCATCGCATGCTGGGTAAGAGCTAGAACCCCTCCGAGCCATGGCATTCGCTTTGGCACATCGACCAATTGCGACACCATGCCAAAGAGTCGATATTTAAGAACGGGACGCTGCAAGCTGCCCCTGTTGGTTAAATATTGTGCTTCACATGCAGGGTTGAGGGGGCTCGGTGGCGGAGATGAAGACGGCGCTTTCCGTGAAGCAACCGGAAGTGACGAGGACGCTGCTCGGAAAAGGCCAGCCACTGTAAATCGAAAAGCCAGATATATCAGATAGCAATATTGCAAGAAACTCCACAAAATCGCTGACAAATTTGATTTGTTTGCGACTGACGAATCGTCGCTGGCAGACTCCTCATTCGTTGAAAGAAGGCCGAACTTTTCAAGTCGACTTCTTTGAACGTGCTGCACCTTTTCGTTAGAACATCCCTCCTTTTTAATTACCGTGATAAGGTGTGTGACAATTTCCCAGATAAAAGGACCTTCACTGGCCTTGCCGCCGACCAATTCGCCCAGGATCATATCTGCCAAAATATCACCAACCAAAGTTCTCAGGCAATCATTCTCCAGATCCTCGGTTGGTAGAAGCACAGCTAAGATTCCCTGGGCAAGCAATTGACGGTAAACTGTTTCCCGTTTTTGCTGTTCTTCAGTCGTCTTCGGATCTGACAGGTCCGGGACGGGGGAGAGTGCTGGATGTGGGTTTAAAGTGTGGTAAACCGTACGGAAATAAGAGGCAGGGCAGTTTAGTTGCGGATTCTGGCTGGCGGTGCGGTAAGCTGGATTTAGTGGTAAACCCAGTTAGCTTCAACGTATAAAAATACACAACGCTCTGCTCCACTCTCACCAACAACATGCGCTTCAATCAGCGCAGGAATCTCATCCAAGACCAAAGAGTCCACATCTACTTGTCGCAGCCTTTGTTCTAGCGCACGGGTGCAATGGGCAATAATTTGAATAACTTCATCTGTAAAAGTATGGTCTGTCGTAATTTTGGAGTACCAGACATTAACAAACTCTTTAATTATGATGGCAATTAGAGCATAGAGCTGTAGGTCGACTTCGTTTGAACTTGTTAGCGGAGGAAGCAACTCTTCTAGCGATCGCGAGGTCCCCCTTTCCCGTTGGTCTGACCCATGACTATTGGATTGTGGACAGAGCACACGGCGGATCAGCGACGCTGTAGCTTTGTCGTTGGTTGCATCGGTCAGGCTGGTCGGAGCACTGAATTTGTTGGCTTGACTAGCTCGCGACGGGGAGCGAGATACTGAAGATGACTTGGAGGATGGCACAGAAAGTGTGGCGTCTTTGACTGATAATTCTATTGATCCAGGTTTCGTGGCGGCTCCTTGAAGACGTGATCGTCCACCGTTGTTGGTGGTGGTCATCTCTCTCCGTTTGAACTGTGTGCGGTCAACGCACTATCCAGCGGGATGGCATCGATTTCATGGAAGTCCGTCGCTCGCAAAAACCAGGGTTTCAAGACTGTCGGTATATTTACAGCTATATAGTTTTGACCTGGAAAGTGGCTGATCTAAGGATACCTGACACTCCAGGAAAAGCTGTCGTTAATTTGTTGTTTGATCCTTGTACAAGAACCATGATCCTTTATCATGCGGCTTGGACGGGCCGAGAATAAGTCCGAATTAGTTAAAGAGCTAGTGCCAATATGTACTAGCGCTCTAAAATTGCCGATGCGCTTGTTGTGATCGATAAATAACGAAACTCTAGGTACCTAGGTACCAAGTGGCGAACTTCAAGCTTCTGCGGGAAAATTGCAGCAACATCGGCGCATGAGAACAAATCCGTTAGTATGGAAGACCGAGAAAGCCCTACACATGGGCTGTTGTCGCATGAAGGATGGGTAACTCCTCTTTGGTTGGATTGCGACCCAGGTAGGTTTTAGCTGTTACTTTTGGCGTCAAGTCAAATAGAGCAAATAACTAACATATCCCATACAGGACATGATGTAAGTCACCCAGTTGACACTATATTTGACCCCTTCGCATACAGTATTACGGCAGAACTGAGTTTAACAGCCGTAAAAAGGATGCATTTGCGATTCTCTTAGCTGCCCACCATCCCGCTTTGAAATTGTTAGGGATCAGTACCGTCCATGGAAACAGCTCGCTCGAGAATACTACGCAGAATGCGGGAAGCATACTAGAAGCCATTGGCAGGTCAGACATTCCTGTGTATCCAGGCGCGGCAAAGCCGTTTTGCAGAGTTGCTGTCCACGCACCAAATATTCACGGTACGGATGCACATTCGTCTCTACTCGACTTTTGAGCTGGCCCACCTAGCATCAGTCCATTGCTAACATGAATATCTCATTCCTTTTTAGGTGAATCAGGCCTAGATGGTACATATCTACTCCCAGCACCAACGCGACCCCCGATGAAAAACTCAAATGCGATCCTTGCTATGCGAGACGCCCTTCTGGCGCAGCCTAAAAACACTGCCTGGCTAGTGGCAACTGGCACACTCACCAATGTCGGACTTCTTTTCGCAACGTTTCCCGAAGTTGCTGAACATGTTCGAGGTGTCAGCATAATGGGCGGGGCAATTGGTAACGGGTTCTCGGACGCCCCTATTTGCAAACGGCAAGGGGGGGAAGCTCGAATTGGAAACATCACACAGTGTGCGGAGTTTAATATCTACGTTAGAATCCCTTTTTATGAATTCAGTTGCATTATAGTCCTTCCCTTTCCTTACCTCACTCTAATGAAAATAGGGTGATCCCGAAGCCGCACAATCCATCTTTTCATCCCCGATTCTCGCAGCAAAAACCACCTTGATACCTCTAGACTTAACCCACCAGGTATTAGGTACACCCAAAGTGCAATCCCTAATTTTACAGACCGAACCCCAACAAGGCACGAACGGCACTTCATCAGTCCTCCGCCAGATCCTGTACGCTTTACTCGTCTTTTTTGCGAATACCTATGAAAGTGTTTTTGGTCTAGACGTCGGACCGCCACTGCATGACCCCGTTGCTGTTGCCGTGCTCCTGTCTAACCTAAACAACGGGAGTAGTGGAAGCAAGGCTCCGGAATTTCTCCGTTTCGACGATAGGGGCGGAGAGCGCTTCCTCGTCAACGTTGTCACCGATGGACAACATAGTTCGGACCCGGAATTTACGGGCGAGGTTGGCCGGACTCTTGCTAGCCTCCTAGAACCCGGGAAGGGCGGTGTCACTATACCACGCGGAGTCGACGTTGATGGATTTTGGAATGTCGTACTTGATTGCTTGAGGAGGGCGGATGATTGGAATGCATCACGTGCCAAAAGACTTCACGAATTGAATTGATAAGATCGACTTTTTGGATATACTTATGTAAGTTTGGAAGGTTGGTTTCCCCCCCTTATGATTCAATTGTTGATGAAAATGTGGGCTCTTTTTCTACGAATAGATTTATTTATCGAATTTATTCTCAACATAGACGCTCAGATAGTTTAGTGTAAAAACCATATTTATCCTATTCGCATCTACGGGATACTTTCCCTCTTGTTAAGCACATTACCTCTCCCTGGCGACTTTTACTCAATCCTCTCGATCTTGGAGAACTGGTATCGGAAAGACATAGCGACTCGGGATGCTTTGATGTCTTGTAGCATTCACAGTTCAGCGGAAAGTCATGGCATGTCATTGTAAATTGCCAATACCCCTTATCCCCCATCTTCACCTTCCCCTGTCTGGGAAATTGGGCTTTGAAATAATACAATAAACGGTACCAATTGCCAAAGGCAAGGTTTCTATTAACCATTCTTTTAGTTCATTCATTTCCTAATTCCGAAAATAGGGGAGGGGAGAGTACGTGAACCGAATGTTGCAGTGTATTGACCTCGGCTAGCGTTTGTTTCCAAGTTGCCTTGGTTCAACTCAGACGCCGACATCGAATGCAGTCAATCAGACAGACCTTCCAAGGAACCTATTGAAAACTAAAATTAGATTGACAGATGCAAAGGGAGAACTGGTGTGGTTGCAGATGTAATCGCAGATGCTTGCACCTTTGAAACCTGCGATCATGATGATACAACACAAAATACATCTACAGAAACATTTATATTTCAAGCTAAACCAGGAAATCAACAAACACCTGTTCCATCATTCACTTCTGCTGTTCGCATTCCTTTGATTATCTGTACCATTGTCTTGTCATCCCTTTTCTTGACCTTCCGCATCTTTACCCACAAAACACAAATATATGTCTATGCATAATTGATTGGATAGCTATATTCACTGCAGGCCACCGATAATGCATAACACTCTCGATGTGGGCTGCTTTTTGGGTTCCAAGCTAGTAGCAATTACGCCGGCAAACTGCATTGATCAATTTTCGATGATATTGAGTATTTTTGGGCCAGAAAAAAAGAAAACATCACCGACAATGGATGTCCTTCCGAACTGTTTATGAAAAAGAAAGGCGTCGACTATCTGATTTTCTGTAACTTTCTCACTGCCAGATGGATGGCTAAAATATCTCGATTTTTCACAGGAGGCTAAATTCCGATGGATCAGTTGGGATATTATTACCCCTGCAACGACTTTTGGACATGATAAATATTTAAATGTCCCAACCTGTTCCTCCCCTTCAGTGGGTCCAGATTCACCAGCGGATCACTGCAACCAAACACCGTCTCTTACACCAGCTACCGGGAGGCTACTGGAGACACTACTGTCTTTTGATTCCACATGTCGAGTCGACGCTGTCCGATATCCAGCAATTTAAAATAGGCTTAAACTCCGGGGGATCTTTGTACGTTTCATTCATCAAGAAGAGCGCCCGTCATATTTTCTCATGAGTTCTCACTTTTGTGCCACTTCCGCTTCCGCCGTGTAGCAGTAGGTTAGCCAGCTTCCACCAAGGTCCTAGATAACTTGCAACCTTTAGATTGGCACAGATGTGATTACTTGTGTCAATCGATAACATGCGCTCGATTTTCTCTATTCCGATAGCGCCAAGGTATCTTGTATTGCATTCCTGGGTTACCCTGTTGTTGTCTTCCAACTAAATGCTGTCGAATTCCATGATGATATCGTGAGCATGTTATCTCTCTGCGGCAGAACCAGCATCGGGAAACCTCGCTTTATAGTATGTCGCAATGGACTCCGCTCCGTTAAACCATGCGGATACTAGCAGCATCTCTACCTACCTAGATTTGCGGGATACCCATAGCTAGAATTGCATCATTCTTGCTTTGTTAATCCCTGCTAGGGCGGATATATTCAATCCTACGAAGAAGACTTACTGTGGATTGATGTGTCCTTTCTCGACATTTATCACCCTTCTCCCACCTATATAAGCTGGTATCATTCTCCCTGTCCATCATCCATCAATTTCACCGTCCATTCGTTCGTCTCCAAATCCCCTAGCTTGACGAATTCAATTATAATAGCTTCCCCAGCTTTACTACTCAACCCACCATTCCATCCTTGACAAAAGATTTAGCATGGGTAAAATCAGAACCATTGAGTATTTCCGTGTACTTCCACGTTGGCTGTTTGTTAAAGTTACTGATGAAGATGGAAACCATGGATGGGGTGAAAGCACATTAGAGGGACATTCAGAGGCCGTTGAGGGCAGCCTGAATGCTCTTTGTAAACGATTTCAAGGATATGAAGCAGAGTATGTCGAAAGAATCCATGCAAAGAAGAGGACTTATATATAATGGCTGATTTAATTGGTACAGTGACATCGAGCAAATCTGGCAGACGGCTTGGCGCCTAGGCTTCTACAGGGGGGGCGCTGTTTTCATGTCAGCAATCTCTGGCATTGACATTGCCCTTTGGGATCTCAAAGGCCGCCGGTTAGGCGTACCAATTCATCAGTTATTAGGAGGCAAGGTTCGCAACAAGATATCTGTTTATGCTTGGATTGGGGGTGACCGTCCTTCAGATGTTGAATCAGCGGCTAGAGCCCGGTTGGCCCAAGGGTTTAAGGTAATCAAAATGAATGCTACTGAGGACGTGAACTGGCTTGACTCTCCCCGAGCTCTCGAATCCTGCATCCAACGACTAAGAGCCGTAAAGGCTCTGGGACTTGACGTTGCTCTCGACTTCCATGGCCGTCTACATAAACCAATGGCCAAGCAGCTGGCTAAACTAGTTGAGCCCTATCATCCCTTATTCATTGAAGAACCACTCCTCTCGGAGCATCCCGAGGGAATCAAACATTTTTCAAAGCAGGTTTCCACACCGATTGCCCTGGGAGAACGGCTTTACCACCGATGGGACGTCAAACGGTTCCTGGAAGATGCGAGCGTCGATATCCTACAGCCAGATATCAGTCATTGCGGGGGTATCTCCGAAATCCGCCGCATCGCAGCCATGGCAGAGGCATACGATGTGGCGATGGCCCCGCACTGCCCGCTGGGGCCCATCTCACTCGCTGCTAGCATGCAGATTGACCTCACAATTCCAAACTTTGTCATCCAGGAAATGAGCCTAGGGATCCACTATAACACGGATGCGGGGGAGTATGATATCACCAACTATGTGACAGACCCTTCAGTTTTTGATGTCAAGGACGGCCATGTTGACGCTCTAATGAAACCTGGCTTGGGAATCGAGGTAAATGAGGAGGAAGTGCGCCGTGTTGCTGAAACCGCGGCATCATGGCTACCAAAGGAGTTCTATGGGATTGATGGGGGTATTCGGGAGTGGTAACTGATGCCCGCTGCTCTGCTTGTACTTGGATTTTTTGTTTTCCCATTGTAATCAGACTGAGATGGTAGGGAATAAACGGTTATTATTGTCTTAAATATCTCACTCGCTGATTTTCCTTTTCCGAGAGGTTGTAGGCGAACACTGTAATCTGGTTTTACTTTGGGTCTGGTCATAGAATTCTATAATGAACGATAGTAAGCAATGTATTATGCTTGGTATAGTATTGGATAAGTTAAAAGTTGATTGAGTGGCTAGACTTGTATATCCAGCAACTAAATTCTTGACAGGAATTATCATAGCTGTTCAAGAGAGCACGTTAGAGCACCATTCTAGGTAACATTCTGCAGAAGGAATACATTAGGTTTAACTTTCTGGTATCTAGCTTTAAGTCCACGATGTATTGGCGTTGGCAAAAGTCATCAAATAACTATATCAAACATCCAAACAGTAAACGTTGTATCTCAAACAACCATTATAGTTCGCGACAGAATTGATAGCCAATAACAGTCAGACATACAGTTGGCTCTGGCTTGGTTCAGTTCATTGGCAACCTACGGGCCGATGGTCCTTCTTTTATGACGTCGTACACGGTGTGCATGTCCAACAGAAATAGTTGCCGACGATGATGGGGCTATCCAAAGGCAGGAGGTTCTGGATAGCCAAAGATGGGAAGGTAAATGATTAGGGTCTAGGAGGAACGGGTGACAATGCTTAGTTGGCCCAATATCGTAATATCGGAACAAGTGCTCGCCGTTCAACCATCACTGTCATGGTCATGCCCTTGGTGGATCACAACCATCACCATTTATCTAATTAATTTAATAAAAATAAAAATAATACTCATTAATATGGTTGCCCAAGACTGGGAGGATAACCCTCTCGCATTGAGGGGTGAAAAAGAGAGCGATTCTGGAGATGCTTGCTTCTCAGCAGATGAAGGCAATGAGACGGGCTGTTCTTCTGTCTCTGGCGATGACCTACAGGCCAGGCTACGTGAGCTCTATGGGGGTGGCGGCCTGGATGAGCCAGATGATGTGGGAGCTTTGCTCCTCAACGACGAGGAACATCCTCCGGAGCATTACCTTGCAGAGGAAGCAGACCTTGAACCTTCATGCCTTCGACAGCGACGCTACAGCCCCCGAACACAAGAGAAACTTGACTGGATCAAGGAGCATTGGGAGCAGTGGGTGTTGCGCATTGTTATTAATCTCCCTAGCTTGCGCTAAGCACCTTGGGTCACCAGGTATTGCAAATTTGTACATCGGGATCCCATCCAGGCATATCACGACATTACGATACAATCCCTTAAAGGGTTCCTCAGCTGGGTCTGTGACCGGCGTCGGGGGAAGAATGGAAGGCGACGAGGGATCAAGCGTCTGAGCTCGTTCCATACATTCTGGAAGTGGTATATGCTTGTCTACGAAGTTGAAGTAGGAAAGAGGATCAATGAGATGATCATTGCCCAATCCCAGGATGTGAGTATGCATTGCCCTTGCATTCAACCGCTCTGGGTCTAACATCTTCGCAGCTGCTCAATCTCATTGCTGATGAGAAGCACCTCAGCCGGGAAAAAAGAGAGAAAGCAACAATGTATGTCCAGGACCTTGCAGAGTTTTGCTGTGTGCTTCTGGCAACAACAGAGATGCTCTACTTGATTGGCTGGCTGCGCATACAGCTGATCCTTTTCTCTCACCTTGCCGGCTATACCGGAAACCGCCCAGAGGCATTGTTGCAGCTGCGCTACCGGCATCTAAACCCGACGCTAGTCCAGGACCTTGAGAGCAAACACCCCCATCTTGTAATCGAGTTCACCGCTGAGTTCACAAAAGGGTTTCTAGGAATGAAGGATGCGTATGGACCCTTGGACTAAAGCTTAATACATAAAATGCTTTTACTTACTATTTGCAGCAACACATTTCCACTTCCAGAAATTATATATGATCCCACACTGGTCCTGAGCCCACATGTCTTGCTGCTCGGAATGTTATTCCATATCAACGCATACAAGTCACCAAGCATTGATTGCCCGCAGAACCTATATAACTTGAATGTTCTCAAGGGCTTAAATGAGCAACAGCTACCGCTTTGAGATGACTTGGTAGATAAATTTGTCTTCTGTGAGGCAGTCCATCAAAGAGAGACTGCTCAGCTTGTCCATGAATTGCAGTACTCCGCTGCCAAAGTGAAATATCGAATGAGAAAAGGCGGTGAAATCACGGGCTTTGCGCAGGTGGTCAAACCGTACGTGCTGCGTCATGGTCCGGCAACAGCACTCAATGCAAGCTGTAAGTTATATTGATTCCCCTTGCTGACTTCACTATACTAACATGCTGAAATGCAGCGGATGTCAGCGAGTCTCTCCAGAATCTTATCCTTCAGCATTGCAATATCAGCACATTTCTCAGGCATTACCTTGACCGTAACATCACGGCTGATGACCTCAGCATCTACCGTGGCCTCACACCGCAGAAGGCCATCATGGATATGCTGTGCTCTATGAGCCGGTCAATTGACCCACGCCGACTGTGGAAACTGACAACGGAGGAATCAAAATCTGTCAATGATCAGCCGCGCGTCCGGGTACTGAAGGCGAATGTGGATACCTTGAAAATATACGTGATGGGGCTGCCTCTCGAGACTTGTATGAAATCTGGGATGATCAGCTTCACCTAGCACAACGTGAACTGCTTAATGAGAAGCAACGAGCTAGAGCACAGCTGAAACGGGTTAAACTGGATCAATACAAACAGGAACAGCCTGTGATTGACAGCGAGCGGCAACTGTCAGGAGGGATAATCAATGAGGATGTCAAAAATGCACTGGAGGGGATTAAGTATATGACACCTGAGCACTTGACACTCATTGATGCTATTCTGACTCTGCCTGGACGAACCTGGGAAGCGGAACAGCAAAGACGGATCAACGCAATGAATGCAGTTACCAAATACTGTGGGGTGGAGGAAGGCTCTTGGTTCTTCCGCCAGCACAACCTGCAGGGCCCAACAACTAGTGCCTCCGTGCAGATCGGCAGACAACTCAGTCAACCGCAACCACGTATCCATGAAGCTATTCAGATAGTGATGGCAGATAAGAGACCAACTATCTGTTTTCTCTGCCTCCAGAATCCCGCGCTCCCAGAGTCTCAGCGAGTTAGTCAGTTCAAAAGGCCGGGAGAGTTGACCAGGCATTTTGAGAGGAAACATCTCAACAAATTTCAAGGGTTGAACTGTATTCTCTGTCAAGTGACACTGCAAACCCTTTCACAACTTATGCTTCATGCAGAAACTAAGCATGGGACGGTCACGCGGAACTCAAAATACAGGATACTCTGCAACTCACCGCACCCTTCAGCAGTATATAAAGGTCAGTTGTCTCAATAGCAGTTGGTTATCTTCTATTTATTCTGAGGGAGAGCTGGTTTCTCCACTGTTCAGGCGCATGTTTTGCTTTATATAGAATCTGAGATTTAGGATTATATATTATATGTACTTGTGTTTTCTGCTTTAGAATACGGCACTTTGAAAATGCAGTAACTAGGTATGAAATGGTCTTGGGACCGTTGAATTATTCCTTTGTCGAAATCAGGCTATGTGTTAGAAAGCATATACTGTGCTAATATACAGTAGTAGAAACTGGCAAGACCAGATTGCATTCTGTATAATTTATCTCTAGTTCGTTGTGTACAACTACCAGTCTGAAGACAATGACCACAAAGTTAATAGCAATCTTCTTTTGAAGGTTATTACCACTGAGTATCACAATGAGGACAGGTATGCTTCATTGTGTCAAAATCTGGATAACATCTGCCGCAAAGCAAGTTGTGTTTTGTAGCATCACTCAAAAATTGTCCTTTTCCAACAATTCTCTGATTTGCTTGTCCGAAATATTTGCCAGCACCTGTTGCAAATCAAATAATGCAGAATCAACTCCAGTGTACACATCTGCAATGACTCAAGAGAAACCATCCATGTTTCAGCAGGTCTGTACAGCATTCGCAAACTTCTCTTCAGCATAACTTATGAGTGCATGAACCCCATATCTCTCCGCAACTCTACACACTCTAGCATTAAAAATCATGGGCGAGAAACTGCCGCTGTCATAATCAGACCCATACATAAAATGAATCCTGGCTGCAATCGCGTGAGGATCATCGCTTGTTAGCAGTACTGTAAAATTGAATTCATTCTAGGGCCAAGGAAGTATCATCCTCAGCCCTAATCATAGAGATTTCAAACTTACTTTCAAGCAACATTCATCAAACAAGCAAGAGGAAAATCCGGATTGACTGCTGAGTACTATCTTATGGACTTTGAGCTCACTGTCCGCTGTTTAAATAATACAATCCGAGAATTTTGAGGTATAAAAGTACCTAAAAATTTGAGTCCACAAAGAAGGTATTTTGCACAGAGACAATTTACCTCTAGAGACTCCTCTGGAGTGCAGCAGGGCTGTCTTGGACTTCACTCTGAATCTCCAACTTCAGATATGGTTGAAATCACCTGAGAAAAAACAGTATGATTGAAACAGAATTTATAGATGAAAAAGTGGGCTGCAGCTATCTATGTGTGGCAGCCAATTTAGGCCACGCGTTTACAAGACCATATATTCAAACCCTTGCAACATAACCCCATTCGCGGGCTCCAATTTCTGCCAAGATGCCAAGCAGTCCTGGATAGGGCCCTGTCTACAAATCTCACACAAGGTGCTATCCGGCACAAACTGTGACGGCGTGGCAAAGCCTAAGCTCAAGTGCAAGCACCAAGTCTTGTTGAATACTGCTGTGGCTGGTATCACAGTGGCTGGTGATTGTGGCAGGGATTGGAAATAGATAACTACATAGTTAGATATGGATGGCATGTGCCCCAGTGGAAGACAGCCTTTTAGTTAACAACAAAAAACTAACTAAGAGAGATTCCACCGTCACTTAGCTCATCCGGTACAATCATTAAACTCAACAGATTATGAGCCCGGGTGGCTGCTCACGGCAGTCTCTGAGAATACCGCCAACAGCTAAGCTTCCCTTCAAATGATAGCTCTGTTAACTCAAGGATCTGACCATCAACCTTTGTCTGTGCTTTTGTCCTTGCCTTTGTCCTTGATTGATTGCTCCCTCTTCTAAGACCTTCCATCGTTGTTCATTATCAGTCAGGCGGATTTCTTGTTCTCTTCCTCGACCTTTGTTTTGTATAGAAAATGACCTTTCTTCTGCTACCGCGCTGTCACAGATGCCATAACAGGGCTTTGGACAAGGGTGTGTTTCAGACTCCAATTTCGTAGTAAATTGGCTTTCAGTAAAATTGCCATTGTCTTTGCATTTGCGGCAGCAGATAGGCTGCAAATCCTGGCTGTCACTCCTGGAATGTATAGCTGGCCGCATTATCAGCTGTGCAAGGGTTTCATCAGCGTGGATCTTTGGGTTATACTGTATTTAAAACCATTGTGTCTCAAATGCAGCTGAATAGGGCGACTCTATATTCTATTTCACCCTCCGACCCCTTTTGTCCTAAGGATCCCAATTTTCCAGTTGAGTTGTTACTATTTTAAATCCTCTTGCACATTGACAGGCACTCAATATGACACCCTTCCTTGATTTAGATACCCCAGTGCCTTTAAATCCGCCAAAAGTGCCACTGCAGTCGCAGGAACATCGTGACTTGCTCGATATCATCGATAAGCTACGATCACAAGGAATCAACCGATATGTCGACCTGCCGCAAATTGTTGTTTGTGGAGACCAGTCGTCCGGCAAGAGCTCTGTCCTCGAGGCAATATCAGGCTTGTCTTTTCCGACGAAGGACAACCTCTGCACGGGATTTGCAACAGAACTCATCTTACGTCGAAGTCCTTCGAGCGCAATCAACATTTCCATCGTTCCCGGTGAGGACCGTTCGGAAGCCGAGAAAGAAGTGCTGCATGCGTTCTCTTCCTCTGTCTCCATCAATGAGTCCGGCCTGGAGAAGGTTGTGGAGGATGCCAAAGTCGCAATGGGCCTCTCGGTACCGGGTTCGAGCAGAGTCTTCAGTAACGACATTCTCAGGGTCGAGCTTTCCGGGCCATGCCAACCACACCTTACCATGGTCGATTTGCCCAGTCTGTTTGAAGCCGGGAACCGCGATCAAAGTGAAGAGGACGCAGGGATGGTCAAGTCTCTGGTCCTTGCATATATGAAAAACCCACGAAGCATCATACTGGCAGTTGTGTCAGCAAAGAGTGACTTTGCACTTCAGAGTGTAACCAAATATGCACGGAATCTCGATCCGCAAGGCATGCGCACAATAGGTCTTATTACCAAACCGGACACCCTCGATGCGGGTTCAGACAGCGAACAAGGCTATCTGGATATGGCCCAAAATAAGGATGTGAAGTTCCGCCTTGGATGGCATGTGTTGCGGAATAGGGATTTCTCTACACGAGATGTGACGACTGCCGAGCGTGATCAGATAGAGATTGAGTTTTTCTCAACGGGAGTCGGGACATCTTTGAACCCAGCTCATGTGGGTGTTTCCGCGCTGAGACCTCGATTGAGCCATATTCTTCGTGATCAGATTCTTGACCAGCTCCCAAGTGTCCTCGCAGATGTTGAGTCTGGAATTGATGACTGCAAAGTTCGACTGCAAAAACTGGGTGCCCCACGTGCAGACCTACAGCAACAACGGCAGTATCTTCTGCATCTCAGCCATGCCTTCCATACCAACATTAAATCTGCCATCAATGGAATGTATGACGGCCCCTTTTTCGGTTCTGCTGGGACGGAAGGAGGATATAAAAGACGACTGCGGGCAGTTGTGCAGAACAGGTTAACTTCATTTGCGGCCGAGATGAGGACGAAAGGACACGCCCTGAAAATAGTTGAGTCAGGGAAACAGTGCAAACAAGGCCACATCACCCGTTCCCAGTACGCTAAGAAAGTGACAACTCCGATGTCTCGAAGTCGTGGCCGCGAGCTTCCTGGAACCTATAATCCACTTATCGTTGGCGAGCTTTTCCGCGAGCAATGTGGTCCGTGGAAAGGAGTGATTGGTCGATTCAAAAGCGACATTCTTGGGGCTACGCACTATGCAGTCTCCGCAGCATTGGACCATGCCGCAGATGAGATAACTGCGGCGAGGCTGCTGCACGAGATCATTGGCCCTGACCTAGGCCAACTTGAGGCGGTCCTAGATGAGAAAATCATGGAGATTTTGGAGCCTCATGAATCGGGACATCCCATCACCTACAACCACTACCTCACGTAAAACGTCCAGAAAGCCCAAGTGACACGGAGAAAGCAGGAATTGGAAAGCCTTCTACAGAATTTCTGAGGAAAGCCTTCATCGGTGTGTGGCACCAACACGTACTTCGATGTTGATATCCAGAAGTTATTATCGACGCTCGTCGAAAGCACGGAAGCAGATATGGATCGCTACGCTTCCTATGCAGCGACCGATATGATGGAAGCGTACTATAAAGTATGTTTGGAATCTCCCATGTCATATTCCTGAGCGGCACTGTTCCATGGCCGGCAATAAGGAGAAATGCATGCAGTTTGTTTCTTTGCAACCTTGAGCTAACTCTCCAAAGGTTGCCCTCAAGAAAGTTGTTGATGACATCAGCGTCCTCGCTATTGAGGCGTGTCTGATAAAAGAAGTTGCCAGCACTGTTTACTCCTGAAACAGTGTATGGCTTAAACGATGATGTCATCCAGAGAATTGCAGCGGAGAGTGAGGAATCAGCGGCTGAGCGGGCGCGATCCACAGAGAGGTTGAAGATCTTGGAAATGGGATTCCAAGCCTTGAATAGTCTCAAAAGCCATTCGAGGAAGACTGGTAAGGGCCATCAATTTTCGTACTTCACGAAGCTTGCTAATTGTTGCGGGCACATGAAATTGAAGGGTTCAAAGAATCAGCAAGCACTGAGGGCGACATGGGTTCCCCACTTTTGGAGACTGATCCTGAGGAGCTGGATATTACACCCCCACCAGACGAGGAGCACTCTGAACTGTGGCCAGCTGTGGAAGCGGAAGCACCGATGCCCGAAAAGCCATGTGACCTTCCACCGCCTTCGGTAGAGGTCAACTTTGCTCTGTCAGGTAAGAGAAAAAAGGAAGGGTAGGCAGGGTGATCTGGGTGGTAATACGTGTGGCTAGATTATGCTGTGCAAAGCTGATTGGTTGTTCCACTCAAATAAATTGGCCTGTGCTCAATTGACAAAGACATGAAGCGTCCGCGAATGATGTTTTTCGGTTTTCAATTGGATTATAGGAAAGCTGAAATATGGCAAGGGTAGGCGCCGACTCAAAGGCACCAAAGCAACAGGTGCGCTGGAGCCAGACTGGAAATATTTCCAGGGTTACTACAGGAGGCAGACAGGGAATCCGGTGGGCAAGGAGATGAGTGAAGATGTTCGCCGAGTGGTTCAACAGCATCCCATCTGATACACCTAGTAGCTCAAGGCTGAGAGCACTGATGGACAGGGCCGTGATCGTGGACGACGAGTTGAAAGAGGAGGCAGTGGCTTCCGTGGAGGAAGAGAAGGTGTATCAATGACCTATCTGTGAAAGTAGAAGAAGGGATAGTGGACCTTGCAAACAGTTAAGACAGAAAGATTAGGATAGATGTGGTATATTAACTTGCATATCCCCTGGGCCGTTCCGGTTTCGGATTTTCCTATTTACCGGCCCAATAGTGGTTTCAAGCACGGCCTCCTTGCGGCTCCCCAAGCTTCCTTCATTTGCCCATGTTGTTATTCTCTTGAAACCGCCTGTGATCTCACTGAGCAGATCCATTCATGTCCACCCACCATTGAGATGTCATTCTTCATAACTTCTCAAGTGCACAAGTGTAGGTATTGTCAAAAGGCCTACTGACACAGACATTCTTGTCATGGGAAGTCGCATAGACCACCCAAACCCCCAAAAACAGAACATTTGTTATCCAATCAAGGTCATGAATGCGAAGGTAGGTCCATCATCCTTGTCCATATTCAAATGTATGCTGATAGAATTACAAGGCCAGAGTCAAATCTGGCCTCCTCATTGCACTTCGACATGCAACACGTCCCTTTCACCAACTGAGCAGGAAGTACTTCCGAAGTGCCAGTGCTTTGAAATGAAGGATCAGTAAGTGGGGTTCATCACAACAGCATCTACCAGCAGAGTGAAGAATGACTTTCCCAGAACAATATTGTCATCAAAAATTTACCTGATCCTGTTTTAAATATTGTTAAAGAAATTCTCACAGACCAAGAATATTGCTACAAAGTATAGTGATTTATTTTATATAGCACAGTGTATTAATAACTAGTTGAGTTGATTTTGTTAACTTTTTGCTAGCAGCATTTAATATCACATTCGGAACCTGAGCTGCTGAGAATGAATTCTCAATTTGATTTATTATTTTTCACAGATACATGTGAAGATCACTTATCAATAGAGTATTTTAATATAGCTAAAAAATGATATTGATAACTTCAAGTATATCATCAAGTTATTCTTATCAAAGTTAAATTCTAAGTCTCTCAATTTAATATATGTAAATTTTTCAACATTATATCTATCTTAGATAATGAATCATATATACAACTTCAGTTTTAACAAAGTGTATAAAGAAGTTAGAAAATAAATACCTATTGCAGAAGTTTCAGAAAATCAGAAACATCTGCTTTGAGATCAGATACTTTATGTTAGTCATATTATATAAGAAGAGAGATAATTTGAAAAGATAAAATTATACTTTAAGACTTGTTCTGCAACTCTTAGACTATTTCAATCTAAGTATTTTCTAGTTCAATCAACTTTAGTTGATCTTTACTATGAGCTGAACTATTTATAAATGAAAAACTGAACTGATTATCTCTTTCAAATAAAGAAAATACTAAAATCAAAAATTGAATGACTAAGACTATTATTTTATAATCATCTAAAAAAAATTTCAGTATTTACTTTTTTTCTTTATTAAAGTTCAAATTATATAAAAATATTATCTAAATGTTGATATATTGATTAGAGAGATGATAATAATATATAATAATTTATAAGAATAAAATATAGTGAATTAGTTTGAGCATATCAAAGCTTTTATTATATTTGTATATCTCTTTTTATCACTATAGAATATGCTAAAGAGATGAAAAGATGATCTAATCTGAAATAAATTCTACAATCTCTCAGAAGATGAAGTTTTTATTTTTGATGTTATTTATTTTTTTCTTTATATCACATAGGATAAAGTTGGAGATATTGACAAGAGTATAAAGAGCTTTAAAAATGTGATAAAAATGATCAAGAGGAAAAAATATCAGTTTCTAATCTCAGGAATTAACATTTATCTATTTCAAAATATATATGATCAAGTATAGTCTACAATATAAAACACTTACAATGAGTAAAAATTCATCAATGTTTTTACAGAGTCAATCTTCTACCAGTGAAGATATTTCTGAAAACTGAAGAGTAAATTTATTAACGTTCAGATAAATTCTATTCAATTTAATCACATATTTAACCCTTAATTGCTAAGAGTAATTTTATTAGACTTAGCAAACTAAAAAAAATTAGTAACTAAATAGAGTATTACTTGCAGATTTAGATAATAAATGAAATTTTGACTAATGACATTTGCCTGGTAGAATAAGAAGATACTCATAGCCATCTGACAAGTCTCCAAGTGGCCATTGCCAGGTTTTCTGAATCTTTTTCAATATCTTCAATAGCTCTTCATGATCAACAAAGAATCTAGTATCTACTCCACAAACAAGTCCTGTTGAATCATTAGGCTTGAAAAGGGTACCACATAGTTTTGCTTCCCTAATGTAAAATATTGGTGATGTTTTCATAATTGCTTCAGCATTTTCCTTTATAAAATCCAGAGGTACTCTCTCAATACCCACTATTCTGAGTCAGAATTATATTCTATATTTCTTTATAAATAAGGATTGTACTTACTCCCAAATGATGATGCAGCAGCCAAGCATGCAACTGGGTGAGAGCTCATGATACCATATATGTCATCCTCATTTGATCGAATCTCTCTCAAGAGTCCACTTGCGAGTCCACGCTCCCGGTAGCTTCTATCTACCACCAATTGAGTAATCCAACAGACAGTCTTGCCATTGTGTTTCCAACGGCAGGCAAATGCATTTCCAGCAAGATTCCCATTAACTGTCACTCTGATGTAGTAGCTCCTCCCAGCAGGATAAGGTAAATACTGCTCACGTAATCGGCGTGCACTGAGTTTGACAGGCTTTCCTAGACAGATGTTAGAGATGAGAAGAAAGAGGGTCATCTTGCCTACCTGGGCTCTGTGAATTCTTTCCCCAAGTTCCATAGTTTTCATTGAATATTTTCGCGGCTTCATTGAGCATGGCATCTGTGACTCGGTCACCAGGAAAGGTCTCATACAATTTCTTTTCCATCCTGATATAGTCCCTTTCGCTGGAATTCCAAGAACTCTCAATGAGGACAACACTGGGTGCTAGTAGAAACTGACAACAGAAGACGGTGATGGGGAGGTCGGGGGTAAAGAGACTGACGGCTCTCCTGAAGTTAACATTTTCCTGAGAACACCAGCCTGTAGCGTCGCCGTGACAGCTATGGCGGGATGAAGTGGGGTAAACGTGGTGCCTCAAGTTGACGACAGGGAAAGTTGCGGCAAAATTTTTGCCTGAATTGGAATTAGTTTACTTCCCTTACAGTATTAGTCAGCCCCAACCGCCCCTGCGCCTGCTCACGGCTCGGATGTTTTGTTGCGGCAAAAATATTTCCCCTGCCGTCAACGTATCCATTTTTTGAATCCTCGACATATCCCTGCCCGGCAACGTACCTTGCGGCAAAAATATTCCCTACTCAAGTCAATGCATGAGCTATTCCTAGTAATATTATCAGTCTGCCTGTGGGTCTTCTGGGTTCTGCCTAGATTATCTCTGCTTCAGCTCTGCTAATCTCAAAGTTATGTTAGTTGCGCAGTTTTGTCAAAGCCTTGGGCCGCCACGGACATCCCTACAATGCCGGTAGTTGGCCTCCCGCGGTGGGTCTGAACATGGTGTCCGTGGTCACCCTGTTGAATATTCGCGCGGACCGCCGATTTTGTTACCAGGTCAATGTCTTTCTCGCCCCGAATCCGTCCCTCCCATCCAAGTGGCCGACGGCAGGCTAACCCAAGCTCATCGCTGTATTTCCGTAACGCGCGAGCTACCGCGGGTTTGCTAGTGCCCGACCACACCACACGAGAGTTAGCGCTTGCGTTAGCCCCGAGCTGAGATTCGGATGTCCAGGCCTATGTTGCGCAAATAATCAATCCTCCAAAATTCGCATTATTGTGTGCTCGCGGCAAGCCATCCCATCCTGAATGTTAATCTGAGACACGCCAATCTCTCACCACTACTAGAAAGGTTCCAGGTGAAAGCGCCTCTGGACTTGCAATTTCTTGTTAATGAGGTGAGCATCTTATTTTCGCTGGGGCATTTTTCCTGAGACCCTCCTGCGCGTTCAGTTGAGCTGCATCAAGGTTGCCTATATTAGCAATGGAGACACGGCTCTTTGGCTGCTTTGCTTCCTGCAGCCTTGTGCATAAAGTTCTCTCTCCACTGCAATCCACTCCCGCCTGATTTGCGATGGCCGCGAATCTCATTTCAAAGCCATGCAGCCCTCCCACCGATGAGCCAGCAACAGGACCCTACAGGCTCACGCCTAGCGACACCGACCGAGTCCTAGAGTTCTACGAAGTGATACGCGAGCCCCTGGGTGCGCCCCGAGTAAGGTGTACCGTGAAAACGAAAAACGGGGACAACAAAACTGGGATATGTTCCTGGATGCAGTTCCAACTTGCACCAGGAGCGAGGGAGAGCTGTGGACGGGACTGGGATTATTACATTGAAAAATATGGCTCCATGCCGGCCGCTCCAGCGCCACCAAGCGTCAAATGCTACCCTTCGGAACATTCCCAGTGGAGATACATCAGCAGCCGGGGCGAGATTAGGCATATTGTGCGCTTTAATGTGACTACTCCTGGTCAGGATGATCCTGTGCACGATGCGTTAGTAAACGCTGTGACCATGGAGGGCATTCTCGCGGTCCAATGTCCATGGCAGATCTGTCGAACAGTGCCTGATGCAAAATCGGCCGCCGGAGCTCTGTGGGATATTACAGAGGGGAGTACAAAAAGCAATATGGTTGGCTTACTTGGTTTGCTCAATTTAATGATTGTCTTGGACTCTGACAACTCTTGTACTGCTGGTAATGAACAGTAACTGGGACATGTATTTTTATTATGATCCCTAGTTTTGCCATGAGTCTGACCCTTCTCTGGAACTTTCCCAACCTCCTTTTGCCTTACCTGTTCCTCAAACCTCTTCATTCGGGAGCTCTTCATCTCCAAAAGTTAAGTAACCCACCATTCCGCCAAAGGTATTTCATCTTGAAGTGATAATCTTCTTGGGAGACATTCTATACTGGATCCGGCAAAGAAAGGTCCGCGCGTTTCTCCATAACATACTGGGCTGCCTGCCCTCCCGCAGGTAGATCATGTCCCAATGTTCTCGATGCCGGCCTTGCTGACTCGTCCAAGGCGCATTTGTTCAGGAGCCATGGCAAATCTAGCCTGTGGTCATGTACGGGCGGTCATCCAGGCGACAAATGGCAACATTCTCACCTGGCGATGTTCTCAGTGCGACGACGGCCCATTTTTGGCCATCTGGCGCTGCAAAGTATGTGAAATGTAACCCATGTAAGAATAAAACTCCTCCGTGCCAATAAGGGTCCACTTAAGCATGTCCTGGGATGAGTACGTTTTCGTTCTACTTGAATATTCTAAATAAACTAATCGCTTACTAGTATTATTAATGCTAGGCTACTTAAGAACTAGAGATGGGTTTTTATAACAAGACATAGAGCAAGAAAGAAAAAGAAAGAGAAGAGGAGAAGAGGAGAAGCTTAGAGAAAACTCAGGAGAACTCTCCTGAGCTATCCTAATCCAGTTAATGCTGTCACGTATTGTCCCATGACATCTTCCATGGAGAACTGGCAGAGCAGGCCGAGCCGCAACAGAACAATACCAGATCTTGTTGGAAATATCCAAGGAGGGTCCTAACACTTCATAAATATCATGTCTGCAGGGCTGCTTCTGATTCCTGCCAACTCTCATAACAAACATGATGGCTCAACTTGAGCTTCTCTTGATGGAAATTCTCCGCATGGACAAAAACAAAAATCACCAGTCACTAGAGAGCTGCAGCTAGATCATTGACATACATTGTCGACAGGCCGGCGGCGTCAACAACCAGCAGGTTTCAGCCTAGCGCGAGACTAGGATATTGTGATCCCAGATATAAGGAAACCAAAGAGTAATTATCAGAGTTTCAGAGCCGTTATCAAGCCCATTCCCGCCCCATACGACTCCACCAGATTAATCTTGGCTCGAAGCTTTTCATTTTCATATACAAGTCGCTCCTGATACCATGACCGCCGATTCTCAAACCATGCTTCAGCCCCTAACCACAACCCTTTTTCCAATTCTGTATTGATCTTTTGAATCACCTATCAGCCACCCCAACTTTACGATGTCGTTCAACATGTTTATCGTGCTCGCTAAATTGCTCTTGCAAGTGCTCCCGCCATTTTTGTTGAAACTCAGCCAATTTCTTCTGGGTAAGTCCAATTTCATAGAGTTCATAACCCAGATCAAGGACAGCGAAAACATCGTGTACGGAGAACCCTTGCTCATAGAGCTTCCGATTAAGGTCAACAATATCGCCCGAATAAGAAATCCGCAGTGTGGCAAAAGGCCTTTGATCGCGACCTGTCTACAGTTAGGCTCCCCAGTATCAATCACCCTTGAGTTAAATTTACTCTAAGATTCTTTTTCTCTTGTATCTGAGGGCCTTGCATAACGGCTGACTCTTCCATTAGACAAAGTAGTGTAATAATTCGGCACTGGGGATTTTAGAATACGGGTGTAGGTTGTATGTCCCATCGGGTTGGAAAGAGGGAGAAGATCGCCTTTATATACCAAGAATGATACAGAGTATGGAAGAGAGAACAGTGTGCTGTGGCTGCATACCTTGTTAGTGTAGCTACCTCGCTTGTGGAATCTGTCCGGGGACAGCACATGCATTCCCATCATCAGCGCATATGTGACCAACGCAGCCCTGCCTGCGGGCATCTGACAATCAATACAGCGAAGTGTGCCTAACTATAGCAAATTAGGTGTGATTTGCTTCTAATCTCTATATTAAAGAATATTTTTGTAGAAGTGGAGGAGAACGGTAAACAAATATACTGTGATAGTTAACCTATGAATTGAATTCTAGGCTGACAGATGTCTCAAATAGCAAAAATATCTTGATAAACTGAAATGTAACAAACTTCCCATACAATACACCCGACAATAAAAGGGAAAATAAAATAAAGGGAAAACAAATTGACAGATCTTGAAAATCTGATGGGAATCAGAGGGTATAAAGTGTAAATCTTTGGTTGATCTGGGTTAAGTAAACATACGATGGAACTGCGAACAGGTCCATGCTGGTATCTGAGTTGGAGTTTCACTCCTCTCTCTTCACAAAAGATATACAAAGTGTCGGCCTGTTTGGACCAGTAGCTGCGAAATGAAGTAATAGAAATAAGTTTCAGTGGCATTGGATATGCCGAGTTTGTAGACTCGGATTTCCACCCAATGTAGTCTGTTAACAGTGGGGTTAAGACACCTTCACATCGATAGTTCGCATCCTCCTCTGTTATATAAAGATTCTCCAGTTTGGAAGGTAAACAGTAAATTAACTTTGACCCCTCTAAAGCAGCTGCCGGCACACTTGAAGTATTGAGATTCTTCAGCAAGGAAAAGCTAAAACCCGACAGTAACCGGGTTAGCGACCAGGCGAATTCCCTATCCAAAAAGCGCCTGATAACCGTGCCCTCTGACATATTCTCTGTGGGCATTACTCTCAGTGTCTTGATATACTGAGCTATGACAGGCCATCACTTGGTGGTTTCTAATAGTGTCGATAAATGGGCATCAACTTTTGTTGCTTTTGTCAGGGAGGTCAAGTTGACTACCTCATACAGGTTTGATTCAAACACAGAAAAGGATTTCGAGACACAGTAAAGATTCACACACGATTTTGTGTCTAGATATTTCGCAATCCGCCATTTCAATTCCGTTGGCAGTTTAGAGAAGCGTTCATTCATTTACTGTGACATTTAATTATTAGTATTATCTCAAACTCAAGCTTTGCAGAAGAATTTTACCCTGGATATATAGAAATTGAAGGAGAATTGATTTGGGACACAATATTCCATAATTGATCTGAGAAGAAGAGGTCTACTTATAGATCAGAACTTAGTAAAGCAGTGAAAATCACAATTATTGAGCATTCATGTACTTGCATTTACGATACTGAAAGAGCATGTCCCAAGCATTATGTCTACAAGCCAGGCTGCCAATGCTCTGAAGAATTTCCTTTGTGGCACAATGGCATAGCAGTACTGACATTAGTACTTGAACTGCCCGCCCGTGGAGTAGCAGGTCTATATGTTTATGTCCATGTCCATGTAAGATCCTTAGTGGTTGCGACCATGCTGAATGCTCAAATCTATGTCTATGTCAATGTCCATGTCTGTGTCTGTATTTATGTTTATGTAAGCTTCTTCTTAGAGGACCGTTATCAACCTTGTTGCATTGTGTGTGTGTGTGTGTTTTTATTTAACGCCCGGTTAGTCCACGTGCCTTAAGGGCACGTGATCTAGTAGAGTCCGCGTCGAACTATAGGGCGGGTAGAGCTACGCCCGTAGGCGACTACCTATCTAGTAGCTATCTTACAAATGAGGCAAAAATGGGTTGCGTATTGCTGCACCGGCAGAGCCCATGGGTCGGTTGCCATAGAGCAGAGGTTTTGAGAGGTTTTAGGTTTGTGGGAGGGAGGTAGGGGAGGCGGATAGGAAGGAAGGCAAGGAAGGAAAGAAAGGAGAGGAAAGAGAGGAAGGAGGAGGAGGTGGTGAGGAAGACGGGGGCAAGACAGAGGAGAGAATGGTCTGTGGGATCTGATCTGGAGGTGCGCGATGGCGCATTGGACAGATATTCTGATAGAAGGCTGTTTCTCTTAGCCAGTTATTGAATTCTAGGGCCCCACACGAGGTTGCCAGTGTCTCGCGGAGATTGTAGATAGGCCGGCGCCGCTTTGCTGCTTTTCTTGCAAGAGTGCAATAGTAGAAATGTTCTGGAGTTTTGCTATGTCCGCACCGGCAGTAGCACTCTGCATCTTCATGCTTAAGGTGGCTGTGGTAGGCTGCAAAGTCTCCATGACCTGATCGGGCGGCATAGAGCTTTCCTAATGTGAAGCGTGAAAGTTTTACCTCTGTTGAGGCTCTCTTTAGTGGGATCTCCAGCTCCATATAGCGTTTGGGCCGATTTTTGGCCCAGTAGTTCTCAAAGGCCCGTGTGGTTTGTTCCATAGTGTGTCGCTTTATATAAGCTAGAGTGCCTATGCTGTCAGGTTGAGGTACCATGCTTGCACTTGCTGCCTGCACTGCGGCTGCTTTGGCTTCAAGATCTGCCTTTTCATTACCAGCCACGCCTGCGTGGCCTGGGACCCATCTAATGACCACCCTGCTCTGGGTGGCCAATGGGAGCCTATCCCTGCTCTGCCAGGCCTTTATGGCTTTCAGAAACTGCGCGAAGACCTGCTGGCTAGAGGTGTTTGGCACGGATCCAAGGGCTCGTGCTACCTCCAAATTGTCTAGGCAAATGTAGACGTTGCTGGCAAACTTCGCCTGAGGCAAGGTGGTGGCTTCCTTTAGGCCCTGCAGGGCTGCCATTGCCTCTGCGTCAAAGACCTCTGCTTTATCCATTGGCAGGTTTCCTGTGGAGATTAGACGGTGTTTGCTACCCCAGCATATAGCCCATCCTGCACCAGTCGCACGCTGAGGGTGCTCTATCTGTGAACCATCGGTAAAGACCACCAGATCCAGGGGATTGCGTTGTTGTAGCCAGTTCTTAAAGTCTTGTGCTGCCTGTTCCTTTGTGCGGCCTGCCTCATACCCAATCTGCAGATCTTCTTTCCTGGGAAATCTCATCCAAGGGGGCGTGAGTAGAGGGTCATATGCTTCTATCCCACCAGCATGACTGGACGCTCTAGACAGACGTGTGGTATAGGGTTTGGTGGTAGCTACTTTATTAGAGCGTCTCACTAGCGGGTGCCTCTTGTCAAGCTTTTTGATTCTTACTGCAAATACAGCACGCCGGTTGTCTAGTGTCTCTTTCATTGGCATGATTCCTAGCTCACGGTGTAGAGCTGAAATGGGTGTGGTCTTGTAGACTGGCAGTGCCCCTCGCAAAGCATCTCTAAGGGCTAGATCTAGCTTTCTGACTAGGCAATCCATTCAATTGGAGATTTCCTTTCCCTTCTCCATTCGTGTGGCTCCAGGCCACCAGGCCTCTGCTCCATAGCAGAGCACAGAGAGCACACAGGCCTGAATGGATTGTCTAAGCAGTTGTACTGGGGCGCCTCTTGCTGTGTTGCTTAGTGCTCGTATGCCATTAGACACCTGTCGTGCCTTAGCCGCCATGGTCTCCACGTGTTTCTTGAAGCTCAGTTTTCTATCTAGCCAGATTCCTAGATATCTTATGGAGCTTTTCACTGCCTTTGCTGTAATAGAGTGAGTGCCAGATGTTGTTTCAAGGTCAATTGAGGGGTTTGAAAGGGTTCTGCGCCGTGTGAAGTGTGCTATCTCAGTTTTGGCAAAATCAAATGTCAGCCCTTCTTTGCTGGCCCAATCATTTAGCAACTTGAAATCCTCCTGGAGAGTAACAACATTCCCTTCAAGAGTGGTTCCAGCACTAAGCAGTCCTAGATCATCTGCGTAGCCTAAGCGTGCACGTCTTCTTTGTATAGTTCCTAGAAAGAACAGAGGCTGAATAAACAGCATGAATAGAATAGGTGAGACTGGCGAGCCTTGTGGAAGCCCTGCTGGGATATCAAAGAGCTCTCCCAGGAGTCCATCCAATCTGATCCTGCCTGTGCGTCCTGTCATGAAGCTTTCCACCCATCTAATTAAATTTGGTGGCCAGCCTTGTTCTTGCAATCTCCGCAGCATCCTTCCTCTGAGTACAGCATCAAAAGCACCCTTGATGTCCAGAGTAAGAAGAGAGACTACTTTTCCATGGGCCCAGGCTTCCTCTATATCATGAACCATCGCTGCCACTAGGTCTGAGGCAGCCCGCCCAGGGAGGGCTCCAAAATGCTGGGGGTGGACAATCTTCTCTTGTATAGCTGTCCAGGCCAGCCTACGGGCTACCAGGCGTTCCAGTCCCTTCCCCAACGTTGAGAGAAGGGCTATAAGCCTGTAGGATCGCGGGAGTGTTGGATCTCTGTTGACCTTAGGCAGCACAACCAGTGTGGCATCTCGAAAGGAGGTTGGGTGCCAGCCAACCCTAAGGCAGGCTCTGAACAGCCTTTCCACTGATACCTTAATATGTGGCCATGCCTTTTGTAGCACCTCTGTTGGCACTCCATCAGTTCCTGGAGTGGTATTACCCGTGTTCAGCAGAGAACTTTGTATCTCATGTGCTGAGGCAACAGGAAAAGGTAATTTGACAGATGGTGGGTTGGACCAGCTAATTGGGATATCCTCTCTGCTTGCAGCCTTCTGTAAGAGCACCCGTTGCAGAAGGTCTCTTTTCTCTCTAGGGGTTGTTCGCGTTCGCCCAGTCTCTACATCTACAAGAGGGGGGGAATGAAAGGAGCCAGTTGAATGGGCCCATTTGATCATCTTAAAGATATCTTTCCCCACTGAGGCCTCTGCTATCTTGCCTCGCCAGTATTCTCTCTTGGCTTTCCTGGTGGTCCTGGCTACGTTGCTTTTTGCTTCTTGTAAAAAACTAGAGCCTAGGTGCTGTGCACGATGTAGTGTTGTCACTGCTTTCTGGCAGTCCTCATTCCACCATGGCTGACCTGTGCCTTGCCCGGTGCTCTTCTTGGTGGAACTTTCCAGGGAAGCTATTAGTGCATCTGTGATACCTTTAGCCAGGGCATCCAGCTGATCTGTATTGGGGTACTCTGGGAAATCACATAGTTTGTCTAGTTTTGGCTTATAGGCCTCCAGCGTCTGGTTAAAGACCTTCTCATTCATGGTGTCGAGACGGAAAGAATGGGTTGGCCTGTCAGGCCTTGCGCCCTGTGGAAGGCTGATTTTGGTGAGAAGAGTCTGGTGGTCAGAGGAAGTGTAAAGGGATCTGTCCACCTGTGTGTCCACTCCTTTGATAACTAATTCCAGGGTGGCCCAGGCCAGGTCTATCATGTTATGCCCACGTGTGGGAGTGTCTGGGTCCATGGTGAGAGTAAAGTTGAAATTCATGGTCCATTGCAGGAATGGTTCCGCCCACATGCTTGGAGGCACTCCTGGTTGCCACACGGGGTGCTTGATATTGAGGTCGCCAGCAAGGAGCAACGGGAGTGCTGGGACAGACCAGGAGAGAAGACAGCCCACACCTTGTCCAGGATCCTCTGCGCCTGGGGGTGCATTGTATATGTTGACTGTCTGAAGCTGTAGACCCCAGGCCTGTATGTGCAGCATGTGGATGTCCCGGTTTTCTGCCCAGGGGCCTGGGACTGCATGAGCATGGATTTGTGGGTGTTTACGCACATAGGTGAGGACCCGTGGCTTCCTGTCCCACTTTTCAATTGGGGCAAAGCAGTTGAATGCTGGATGCTTTTTGGAGATGCGTTGGCTTAAGTTCCTGTGAATCCAGGGTTCCTGTATGAGAAGGATGTCAGTCTTTCTTTCAAACGCTAGATTGAGGGCCGTCTCGTGTGCTGGGCCCCCTTTTCCTACGTTGACTTGCATAATCTGCAGGAATTGCGGAGATCTAGAGTTCTTCTTCATTGAGTAGCTGAAAGGAGGGTGTTGTTGCGTGAGATGACGTGTTGGGTGTTGCATTAGAT